AAGAAGAAGAAGAAGAAGAAGAAGAAGAAGAAGAGGGAAGGAGGAAGGAGGAAGAAGGAGAGATGGAGGGGGAGAACAACAAGAAGAAGAGGATGTCATCCTCCTCGCTATCTCACCAGCAGGTAACTGCCGCCAGGTACTAGCTGTCGCCGCGTGTCTCCTCTGTGCTGCAGGGTGCTGGAGCGAAGACCAGCTATGGTGCCCAGGTATATGGCCTCAGCCTCACTGCCTACCTACACCTCTACCTCTAGCGTAGCGCTGTCGCGCTGCTCCATCAGCGTGTCGCCCAAGAAGTGAGGTACTCGAACTGTGCGTCTGCCCTGGCGTGGGCCAGCTATAAGTAGCGCTGGGCCTCACGGGTGTGCCTTCGTGTGCCTCTGGTCCTGGCCTCGAAACAGTCTGCCTGGGTCCCTACCCGACGTCCAGACCCTCCCTGCTGATGCTACCGAAAATGGACCTGGCCCAACAGGGCCCGCATACATCCGTACCAGCCCAAAAACATGGACTTGTCCGAACAGACTGAAAGTCTGTCTGGATGAACTGCACGTCCGAAACGACGCCGGAACAGACAAAAATAGGACAGAAAATAAATAAATAAATAAATGAGTGCTGCCTCAAATCGAAACCTGCAGCCCTGAGGCCGACCGTGGGCCTGTAGGGTGTGTCTGAGGGGCGTGCAGCCTGGGGGCCCCCAAAATAAGGCCCGTGTGCAGGCTCAGCATGTAACCCCCCCCGCTCCTTATGAAGGCAAGCCGGGTCGAGGGTGAAGCTGACGATCCGATGGTGGAACCTGGACAAGAGTACGGCGTGGAGCCGGAGGTGCCGGCTTGCCTTGCTGTTTGCGTTCGTAATGTGCGAGGACATCGGGGGCTGTGGCCTGAAGTTCCGTACAGGTCAAGCAACGATCAGCCTTATGGCTACAATAAGAAAAGTGTACTAAGTACTCCGTCGGTTTGGTGTCATAGCGCCACTGCGAAACAATGTCGCTAACCTCCTGAAAACCGTCCATGGAGGGTGGATCTTATGATCGTCGCCCAGGAAAGTCGTCACATTCCGCCGAAAAACAAAAAGAGCCAACTTTGATCAATGAAAGAACGGGTGGACGCGGAAGTGGGCAGGTACCTAAATGACAAATGATGGACCTTCGGGTGCGTCACCAGCGGGTGCCACAACGCGCCAAGGTCCCATCCACTTCGGAAGGATCTTGCGAGAGATGTCCTGTTCGAGGCTGAATTCCACGGCGAAGACCCAAACAAGGTCGTCGGCGCGGAACGAACAAGGACGACATTGGCGATTAGCCTAGCGGCTCATGCGTTGCTGCATCTTCGACATCTGGTCCCGGCCTCGACAAGGAGCTCTTGCATCTGTCGAATAAAAATAAGGTGGTCATCGCTCTCGGTCGCCCGTGGGATGATAGTGTCCAACGGCGATGTGACCGGCGAGCCACGCTCAAACTCAACGGGTGACATCCCACTAGCACGATGCAAGATGAATGGGCAAGTTGTAAGCCAACTCGACATCCGACAGCCGCTCAACCCAATCCTTTTGTCAGGACAGATGAGAGTGCGAAGAAGAATCTGTGCGGTTTGATGCAGCCTCTCCGTTTGGGCATCGGTTTGTGGGTGGCGAGCCGAGCTCAGCTTGAGAGATGAACCCCATCGTTTGATGAGCGCCAACCAAAAGCCGAACATGAACCGAGTGTCGTGGTTGCAAGCGATTTCCTTGGGGTAACCCTTGGTACGAATCCAACCAGCGTAAAGAACCTCGGACAACTCCGGTGCCAATGGCGTGATAGCTACAAGGCAAAAACATGGAGAACTTCGTGAGTCGATCAATCACCGTGAGAATATCACACCGGTCTTGTGCTTGGGGAACGTCCCAATTATGGCCATGGCAATCGATCCCCATCGTCCTAAGGGGACCGATAATGGTCGCAACTAGCCGAACGGACAATGATTGCAGGATTTGCAATGTCAGCAAACTGCGCATGACTTGCAATAGCGTGTGACATCGTTGAGAAGGGCGGGCCACCAAAAGCGAAGGCGCAGTCGGCCAATCGTACGATTGACTCCAAAGTGTCCAGTGGCAAGAGCATCGTGGAATTCGCCACGTATGCAAGTGTGGGTCACTTAGCACACAAAAAAAATCCTTCCCCCCAAGTGGACGGGCAAATAGCCCTCTTGGATCCGATAATTTGATGGTGCCAGATTTGGAGAGGAATAATTTGAGTACTTGTCGCGAAACTCAGGGTCGACTTGGTACCCGTGGATGCAGCTGTCCCGCAAGTCATCATCACCCTCGAACGTTGGGTAGACCGCCGCACAAAGGTCCGAGCACCTAGAAAGGGCGTCCGCAAAACGGTTCGACTTTCCCAGGATGCGATCGGGAAAGAAGTCAAACTAGTCGATGAAAGCCATCCAACGGGTGATGGTACTATTGATCATATCTTGGGTCTTATAAAAGACCAACGGATTGTTATCCGTTACCCATTGGAATTGACTTCGATCGAGAAGAAATTGCCACCACCACTCAAGTGCATGTAAGAAGGCCAAGAACTCCTTCCGTGCATCGTCAATTGAATGCACGACATGCACTTTCTTACTAAAGTACTTGACCGGGTGCCCGTCCATACCATCGTGTTGCTCAAGGACTACACCAATGCCATAGGTAGTAACGCACGTCGGCAAGAGCGGATTGCAAGTGCGTAAAACCTCGGTGGATAGCAAGGCGGCTTTGAGGGCCAAAAAGGAAGCCTGCGCATCATCGTCGAAGTCGAACCACCGATCCTCGCATTGAAGCTTGGTCAAATTAGTCGCGATCTTCGAATAGCCTTCAATAAAGCGTTGATAGTAGCCGGATAGGCCAAGAAACGAACATACATGTGTGACGTTCTTCGACTCCGACCACTCTTGGACGGCTTGAATCTTGTTCGATAACAGACTAATGCCCTCCGCGGCTCCGCCCACTCTTGGACGGCTTGAATCTTGTCCGATAACAGACTAATGCCCTCCGATGTGACAAAGTGACCCAAGTACTCCAACTCTTGCCATACGAATTCGCACTTGTCACGGTTGGCTTTGAACTCGATGCGACGGAGCGTTTCCAACACACGTCGAAGGTGCTCGAGATGATCCTCGAAGGTTCGGCTATAGACGAGAATATCATTCAAGTAAAGCAGCACATACCCGTCCAACATCTCACGAAAATCGTTGGTCATCGCCGCTTGAAAGGTCGTCGGGGCGTTGGTGAGGCCAAAAGGCATGATAATCCACTCAAAGTGCCCGTACCGTGTTTTACACGCGGATTTGTAGCAATCTTGCCGGTGTATCGAAATCAGATGATAGCCCGACTTCAAGTCCAACTTCGAAAAATATTTCACACTGCCCAGATGCTCAAGAAGGTCGTCGATACGAGGAAGAGGCCCCACATTCTTAACGGATTGTGCGTTGAGCTTGCGATGCATACTCGAAGATCGTTGTTCTTCTTCCTTACGAAGAGAACCGGCGTGCCGTATGGTGAGCTACTAGGGCGAATCCACCCTTTTCCAACAAGTCATCGAGTTGAGCGTGGAGAACCGTGAGCTCTTCGTCTCTCATGTGATAGATGCATCCTTTCGGCGTCAAGAATGATCTCATGGGAGATCGGCCGATCCGGCACCACACCAGTAGGAGACTAAAAAATGTCGGCGAACTCGTCAAGCAACCGCAACACGCGGTTGTCCGAAGACAAATTCGTAGGTGAAGATTCGGTCGCTGTGGTCCGCTCATATGCATAAGTGGCTCGAAAAGACTTGGCCGTCACAACTTGGCATCGGATCGAGGGTGCGAAAGAGGAATGGTACACGGTGTCGAGCGCATCGGCTCCCGCCTTTCTGCAAAGCGCAGGAGCCATCTCGGCTATATGTCACGCGGGAGTAAAACAAAACAAAAACAGAATAACTTGGGAATGACGCAAAACAACCCCGCGAGCCGCTGAGGCGACCGCGGTAGCGTCGTCCCTTCGCCACTCTAGCCGGGTGCGCCAGCTATTCATCCCGCGGTTCCCTACGACAGGATAGGTTCCCGCGGGGCACAAGCTTTGTCACCACCCTTACGGGCGTAGGGGTACTCCTCGTCCGAGCACAAGACTCGGATCTCAGAAGTCGGACCGTCTCCACCAAATCCGAAAAGTACCCCCTCGTACAACAGTCCACTCTCTGAGATCCGAGTCCTGTGCTCGGGCAAGGCATGCAACACTTCCAAGCAATGCACCTGATCAAGAATCATTCACAAAGCAGGCTGTCATCCAAAAAGATTAGAAACGTATGAAGATAGGTGTATGCGTGTCTAATCTTAAGTCGGCGGTAGGTGGAATGAATGACTTTTGCAGCGCATCTCATCAAGTCAAAACTAAGGCAGTCCGACTACTTTGTTGGCTGCATCAAAGTTATTTTCAATAGCCAATTCCTTGTTGGCGGTTGTTTGATTGTTTTGTGGTGTTCGACTTGAGATGGTCAGATTGTATTTCGATCTTGTGCTATCGGATGTACTGTATGATGATTTAAATTATTTTCATTATCATTTCAGTTTAGATACACCTGCCTATCGACTAAGGTAAATTCCTTTTTATGTAAATATATGTGGTCGTTTTAACTTTCATTTTGTGTGACAAGGGACTAGGATAAATTTGTGGTTTCACGCTTGGTTGAGACCGTCCTAGTCGACCGACGTACGCTTCGTACTTAGGAGATCAGCACCCTAAGGAATGGACGACGTTCGAGGCCACTTGGCGTTAACCAAGCGTATCTATACTACAGCGAACGAGCAAACACCCTCGGTTGAGCTACCTCTGCGATTGCATTTAAAAGCTTTCGCACATGGGTCAGTACTTCGATAGGGATACGCCCCTAAGGGTGGTGACAGCCCCTCAGGGAAGGAAAGCTTATGCCCCGCCGGAACCTATCCTGTAGTAGGGGACCGTGGGATGTACAGCTGGCGCACCTGGCTAAAGCGGCGAAGAAGCGATGCAACCGCGGCCGTCTCGGTCCGCGGGGTTGTTATGTGTCGTTCCCGAGTTGTCTCTCATTTTGTCTTGTTTGGTTTAACTTCTGCGTGACATGGTCGGGAGGGCTCCCGCCTCTTCGCGAGAAAAGGGGGGGGCCGATGCGCTCGACAACGACACCTTGACGGCAAAGGCGTTGCGAACGGTAAGTGTCCACCGATGGAAGTTGACCATGTGGTCCGCACTTGCAA